ATTCCTGCTAAAAAACCTGGCAAAGAGCCTGCTTCTTATTTCCTAGGGACAAAATGGCATAAATTTTACACTGAGAGATGAAAGAGAATTGAATCCAGATACAAACAGTAGCTCTCAATCACTTGGCAACTGGCCTTTTTTTTCCTCTCTCACTCTTTCTTCAGTAGGTAGACAAACATGGTTAACCCTCACAGCCTGAATAGAATTGAGTATACAGACAGATGTTTAGATAATTGCTAATGTAAGCCAACTTTTAGTTAAAAATTTACAAGAAGGAAGTATTTATAAATACAATATTTCTACTGCCAAATAATTTGTGGAACATCAGAGGTGGTGGTATAACACTGGAAGCCATTCATTCCTCTGTCGTCTTCCATTCATAGTTATTCTCCAAGTGTTTATTTTGACTTACTGCTCCTAAAAATGTGAGGGGAAAAGAAACCCTGTCCATTTCTGAAACCAATGGTAAATGCAAACTCTGTGGTTGACAAGACTTGGCATGGTGAAGAAATGGATCCCTGACAAGAATGGAGATTGGGAATTTCCAAATCTGCTACATTCCAGCGGATGAAGGAATAGTCAGAAGTGATGAGTGGTTTCCCAATGGGAAGAAAACTGTTGAGATATACTGACCACAAAAAGAAAATTTTCAAAATTTCCAGTTATGTTACTTTAGATTGCTTTCTATCTCTGGGAAATCCCTCTTACCAGCACTAAAAGTGGTTTCTAAGGGGAAAAAAAGAGAGAGAGAGAGAGAGAGAGAGAGAAAGAAGATGCCACTTTGGAAGATGTCATGGCTTCATCCTTCAAATACTCACATGGGGAATGTGCAGCAGTTTCCTTGTTAGGAAATTCTGTTCAAAACATCTGTTCTTCTGTACATGCAGACTGGAACTCTCCTGAGAGCCAGGTGATGATAAACCCATCACCTGACAGTAGTTCACTTAGGAGGTGTCCCAGGAAAAGTTGCTGAACTCAGAAGCCAGCGAATCACATGGGTATTTCCGACTGAGCTCCAAACCCTGAGGCAAAGCACCTAAATATTGGAATTGCAAGCTATTTATTCCTTATACATTTCTCTGCAGATGATTTTATAACATGATGGGATTATTTTGTTAATGGCTATGCTACATCTCTTGGAAAAAGTAGTCTATTAATATATAGGACATTATTATTATATGGTGTTGAGATTAAGACTCATTACTTAATGAAATTTAGTAAGTTAAGAAAAAGTATGCAATTCACATAGGCATAATGTAATAGTCATTTGAAAAATCTTTAATTTGAATAATTGCTTGAAAAGGTCACTAATTTAAGACTAGATTCATTTTACTATTGTAACCTGGAAAATAGAGAGAAGGTATGCCAGTTTTTATAACCTAAGAATTACATGCCATCTGTGAATGATCTCATATTTTAAAATAACTTATTGCAAGTGAAATATTGTAAATTATTAAAGATCACTAGCCCATTCTAAAGGTAGGTGCTTTCCCTGAGTATGTCTAATTTCCAGGCTTTTGAAGAGGAAGCTATTGGGTTTATTTATTTTATTAAAAAATAATATTTATTCTGTTCTCTAACTAAAAAGTAATGCATGTTCATTGAAGAGCATTAGAAACATTAAAAAACAGGGGTGGGGCGAGGATAAGGATCACCTTTAGTTCTTTAGAGATAATTCCTATTAATATTTCACCATTAACATTTGTTACCTAGTTGATTTTTCCTTTTTTTTATATATATATATTTTAAATTAGAAAAGATATATACTCATCATAAAAAATTGAGACAATATAGACAAAATTTGGAAGTCATCTTGTTATGGGCTGAATTTTATCCCTCCTCAAGTCATGTTGAGTCCCAGTACTTCTGAATGTGACTCTTTGGAAACAGGGCCTTTAAAATGTGATTAAGTTAAAATGAGGCTGTTAGGGTGGAGTGTAATCCTATCTGACTGGTGTCCTTATAAGAAGAGGAAATATGGACACATAGAGAGACGCCAGGGATACATACACAGAGAAAAAGCCATGTGAGGACAAGCCAAGGAGAGAAGCCTCAAAAGAAATCTGTGGACACCTGTATCTTCTAGCATACAAAACCATGAGAAAATAAGTTTCTGTTGATTAAGCCACTTAGTCTGGGTATTTTGTTATGGCAGCTCTAGCAGACTAATACATACCCTTTACCTTTTATCCCACTGTTCTCCCCAAGAGTAACCATGACTAACACTATTCTTCCATACTTATTTCCTAAGCTTTTGCACATGGAATCATATAGAGAAAGTTTCTTTGTTTACACGGATGGGATTATACTATAAATATTGCTCTGTAACTTGTTTTTTTTCATTTAACAAGAATATCATAGATAACTTTCCATACCAGTACATATAGAGAACTACCTACCACATACTTTTTGAAGACTGCATGGCTCCATTGTATGATTGTATCATGAGTTATTTTCACTATTACATTACTGATGAGCATTTAGATTGTTTTCATTTTTTTCTATATTACCATCAATGCTGCAATAAACATCTTTTTACATTTGTGGTTTACATTTGTGGACTTATGAGCTAATATGTAAGAATAATCCCAGAATTAGAATTACTGGGTCAAAGAGCACATGTCTTTAAAATTGCCTTTCATTAAAGCTTAACCAATTTCCAGCCCTGTTGACATATATAAGACTCAATGTTTCCTCATTTAGGCTTTTCTTTTCCTGTTTATACGTATGAGTGTATGGATTTACATAGATAAATAGGCTTTTAAAAAATAACATTAAGATTGTACTATAAGAATTGTTTTGAAATCTCCCTTTAGTTTTTTAGTCATAAGCATGTTTAGTCTTCAATTTCAGTCTTTCTGTAGAGTCATTCTTTTGGGGCACCTCTTGCATACATCAACAGGTATTATTACTAGCTCTGAATATTGGAACTTGTGGATTAGAACCAACCTAAACATACATCTGAAGGATTTGTCTCCTGGACGGAGGCAGAAATGAGACTTCTCTTTTCCTAGAAATCAATCAACAAATTCTTTGAAATAGTTTGCTTAGGTGTCCCTCTGAAAGTTAAATTCTAGTTTTCTTTTGGAACCTAGTTAAATGATTTAAATGGCATTCAAACTCAATAGGCCCATTAAGTATTTGTTAAATTGCATTGGAGTGTGTATTAGTCTGCTTGTCTGCCATAACAAAATACCATAAACTAGGTTGTTTAAAGAACAGAAATTTATTTTTTCACAGTTCTGGAGGCTGGAAGTCTGAGATCAGGGCACTGTCATGGTAGATGTCTGGTGAGAACTTTTCCCCAGGTTGTAGATAGCCAGCTTCTTGCTATATCTTCACAATGCCTCTTTTTTGTGCATATGTGTGTGAGGGGTGGGGCAGCAAGCAAGGAGCTCTGGATATTTTTTTTTTTGTAAGAACACTAATTCTATCGGATCACGGTCCTACCCTTATGACCTCATTTAACCTTACTTCTCCAAATATAGGAGGACCCTTCTCCAAATATAGCCACACTGGGGGTTAAAGCTTCAACATAGGAATTTTAGGGGGACACAAACCTTCAGTTCATACAGAATATGTCTGTAGTTAAGCCAGGGTTAGTACTACAGATTTTTTTGAGGGAATTTGACCCTATGGGAGTTCTTCTCAAGACTATGAAGTGAGACCAACTAATGTGGTTGGTTTAATGTCTCCTTTTTTACTATCTCATTTAGAATACTGTTCTACAAAGTTGTAAGAAAAATGATCAGAAAATAAAGTGAATTGAAAGCTTCATTGTTATACTTGTGGAAAATTTAATTCAATTCAACAGATATTTGTTGATCTCTTACTGTATATAAGATATTATGCAGTACATTGGGAACAGTAGAAAGAGATCAACATAATGGCTGCCTTCAAATGCTCATGCTTTTTTCATGTTCAGCAGTTAACAAACTTAGCATCAAATCATCTGGGAAATAGTTTAAAATATTCATATTTGACACAATCATCTTGAAAAACTTTTTAGCAGTATCTACTAAAGCTAACTATATGACTATTCTTTGACCCAGCAATTTCATTTCTATATATGTACCCAATAGAAGTACATATATATGTGTGTACCAAAAGACATATGTAAGGTAAGAATGTTCATTGCAGCACTTTTTGTCAGAGCCCCTAATTGGAAAGAACCTAATTGTCCAACAACAGAGCAGCAATGAGAATGAATAAACCACAAATATAATGACAACATACATTTCATAAATATGTTGAACAAAGAAAGCCTAACAGAAAAGTATATCTAGTTCCATTTATATGAAGTTTTTAAAAAGGCAAAACCAATCTATGCTATTCAAAGTCAAGATATTGGCTAATTTTGTGGGAAAGAGGCAAAGTCTAGAAAAAGAACATGAAAGAAATTCTGGTATTCTAGTATTTTCTGTTTCTTGCTATGACCAGTTTCTGGGACATAGAACATAGTTGTTCATTGTGTGAAAATGCTTCAAGTCATACACTTATTATGTTTACATTTTTCTGTATTTATGCTGTCCATCATTAAAAATGTTACAGATTTGTAAGCCCTATCTCAGACCTACCGAATCAGAATATCTACCTAATTTAACTATCTATACAAGGGGCTCAGGAATCTATATTTGAAAAGTAACCCAAGAATCCTGGTGCATTTGGATTCAGGTTTTAGGCAACTGCTGCTTTTGTGAAGACAGCATTTTAGTTCTCCTTCCCAAGACTTTAGCTCTCCTTTATACTGGTAGTAGGAACCATTGAACACACTAGGAGATCATTATGGAGACGTTCAGAGAAAGCCATTGGTAGCCTACTACATTGACTGCCATTATCTAGATGGTACGTGCTCAAAAAGAAATTGACTTTTCCTCAGAACAGTGTAAAGAGATGAATGAGCAAGAGAGGGATTTGGCAGAATTTACTTAGGAGACTAGATTGTCATGTTTTTACACTAAATTGTCATTTTGGAGCAAACAAGAAAAGTGCAGCTGCAAAGTAAATGGGATCAGAGGAATGTACCATGTATTTCATAAGGATTTTTCCTAAATGCTAGCAAATTAGTTGTGTTACTTTGGTTTCTTATCATTCATGAAATCGTGTTGAGTAAAGAAAGGAACAGATGTCACTTTTGTGAATATGTTAAAGGAGAGAAAATATGATAATAGTCATGAATCAGAGGAAAAACATTATTTGACAATCATAGTACATTTCGCTTCTTATATCAAGGAAAGAACTTTGGGTATCAAGGAGACACTGAACATTATCAGATTCTAGATTCTATTTGAATCTTTCCCTCTTTCTTCTGCTGGAGTTCGCCAATGAGATGGTCACTAACAAATTATAGAGACACTCTGCAAATTTGAGTGTAAAGTATCATAACTATTGGATAGAGTCCTCCAATTTAAGGTAGAAAGAACCATAGTCAAGTGTTATTCAAACTTTTTTGACTATGATCCTCTATAAGAAATATATTTTATGTTGTGACCTAACACAAACACACCCCACACTGAAACAAAGATTGATCAAAAATACTTATCTTACTACATGTGGGTAACTCTGCTTTTTATTCTCTATTATTCTAATACTGTACATAGTATAGCACTAATACTTTAAATATATTTATGTTCTACTATTCTATTTGATTTCTTAAAATATAATGGTTATGGTTCATTAAATTGATTTCATAACCCACTGATGGCTTGTGAGAAGCAGTTTGAAAAACACTAAACTGCATCTACTCCAATTCCAGGAATTGAGGCACAAAGAAGCTAAGTCACTTACCCAATGACACACAGAAAAGAATCAAAATGGAGAGACCCATTAAACCCACCGCTTTTCCTCACAATGCAACTCAGTTATTTCTGAAACATTAATTTATATAATTGCATGGACTCACCACATTCAGGTAGCTCTCATTTACATTGGACTGAATTCATATTTCTATAATTTGATAGTCTGTAAACTGCCCTCAGAGAGAGCCATTCATTGGGCCACAGTTTTAGTGAAACTGGTGAAAACAAAATTTTTTTC